AAGTGCAAGTGACACACCACTACACAAAACAAAAGATAAAGATGCACACTGAACGACCCCGACGTTCCCTCTACACGCGACGAAAACAAATCGCAGATGATGTAAAGTGGTCACATCTCTATCCCAAGAACGACAAGCAAGGTTGTGTAGGGAACAAGAAATGATCGAGTCAAGCTGCAGGAACCATAACCATCCAGCAGAGGCAGCAGAGCAATAGGACATAACATCCAGCAGAGGCAGCAGAGCAATAGGACATAACATCCAGCAGAGGCAGGCAGAGCAATAGGACATAACATCCAGCAGAGGCAGGCAGAGCAATAGGACATAACATCCAGCAGAGGCAGCAGAGCAATAGGACATAACATCCAGCAGAGGCAGGCAGAGCAATAGGACATAACATCCAGCAGAGGCAGCAGAGCAATAGGACATAACATCCAGCAGAGGCAGCAGAGCAATAGGACATAACATCCAGCAGAGGCAGGCAGAGCAATAGGACATAACATCCAGCAGAGGCAGGCAGAGCAATAGGACATAACACCCAGCAGAGGCAGGCAGAGCAATAGGACATAACACCCAGCAGAGGCAGCAGAGCAATAGGACATAACACCCAGCAGAGGCAGGCAGAGCAATAGGACATAACATCCAGCAGAGGCAGGCAGAGCAATAGGACATAACATCCAGCAGAGGCAGCAGAGCAATAGGACATAACATCCAGCAGAGGCAGGCAGAGCAATAGGACATAACATCCAGCAGAGGCAGCAGAGCAATAGGACATAACATCCAGCAGAGGCAGCAGAGCAATAGGACATAACATCCAGCAGAGGCAGGCAGAGCAATAGGACATAACATCCAGCAGAGGCAGGCAGAGCAATAGGACATAACATCCAGCAGAGGCAGGCAGAGCAATAGGACATAACATCCAGCAGAGGCAGCAGAGCAATAGGACATAACATCCAGCAGAGGCAGGCAGAGCAATAGGACATAACATCCAGCAGAGGCAGCAGAGCAATAGGACATAACACCCAGCAGAGGCAGGCAGAGCAATAGGACATAACACCCAGCAGAGGCAGCAGAGCAATAGGACATAACACCCAGCAGAGGCAGGCAGAGCAATAGGACATAACACCCAGCAGAGGCAGGCAGAGCAATAGGACATAACATCCAGCAGAGGCAGGCAGAGCAATAGGACATAACATCCAGCAGAGGCAGGCAGAGCAATAGGACATAACACCCAGCAGAGGCAGGCAGAGCAATAGGACATAACATCCAGCAGAGGCAGGCAGAGCAATAGGACATAACACCCAGCAGAGGCAGGCAGAGCAATAGGACATAACATCCAGCAGAGGCAGGCAGAGCAATAGGACATAACATCCAGCAGAGGCAGGCAGAGCAATAGGACATAACACCCAGCAGAGGCAGGCAGAGCAATAGGACATAACACCCAGCAGAGGCAGGCAGAGCAATAGGACATAACACCCAGCAGAGGCAGGCAGAGCAATAGGACATAACATCCAGCAGAGGCAGGCAGAGCAATAGGACATAACACCCAGCAGAGGCAGGCAGAGCAATAGGACATAACACCCAGCAGAGGCAGGCAGAGCAATAGGACATAACATCCAGCAGAGGCAGCAGAGCAATAGGACATAACACCCAGCAGAGGCAGCAGAGCAATAGGACAAGTGAAATAGAGAGGAATCCTAAATACTTTTTCCTCCTATGCAAATTCTAGAACAAAAACTAGATGTAGCATTCTGCCCTTGTGCGAGTGATGGAACCTTCACAGATAACAAGAAATTACTGAAATACTGAGGTTACAGTATGATTGTTTTCATTGAACCCTCCACACATTACAGATCACTGATCCAAATTAATTATTTACGAATGTGAACCTAACCACTTGGGCTGGACGGTAGAGTGACGGTCTCGTTTAATGCAGGTCGGCGTCCAATCCCCGACCGTCCAAGTGGTTGAGCACCATCCCCCCCCCCACACCGTCCCATCCCAAATCCTTATCCCGTCCAAGTGCAATACAGTTGTAATGACTTAGCGCTTTCTTTTGATAACTGTCCTGAACGTGACACCAACACGGCACCATGTATCAGATGTCACTAACCCCACTGTATTTGTATATAACCATAGACAGCAGACACACTGCACCAGGCCCAGACTTCTGGAATTCAGTATTCATGAACAAGTAGAACACGCCACCATCACAGACACTCTTGGAGACGGAGCCACAATACTGGTGTCACCCCTCACACTTATAACACAGCAGATGGCGCCACTTGACAAACGAGGCGGTGAAGCAGAGGTACACAATTATATACCAATACCTCTAACTTCCCACCTCAGAGCCGTCAACACATTTGACCTTGGTGTTACTACGCGCAAAATGAGTGCCAAAGGAATTACTGGCAAAGTAGAGAGATGGATCTTCAACTTGCTAACGAACTTACGGGCTCACCATAGCCCGTGCTACATGGACACTCCGTCCTGAATAGCTAAATCTTCATCATCATCAACTTACTAACGAACAGAACACACAGCAATAATCAACATTAAAATCTGGATCATCTACCGTGAAAAGCTCAGTCCCTGAAGGTACCGTGCTTGCTCGGGTACTTTTTCTCCTCCTCACATCAAACACACGAGTATACAAACTATAGTACTGTATCATCCTTTTACCACTTACGGGCTATTCATGCCCGTGCCACCTCTTGGGTGGCTTAATCTTCATCAATCATGCTCTGCAGGTGAGGAGGACGTGCACGAGAGTAGACAATATGGAGGAGGGTAACCCTCCACTCTGACAACCACAACCACACAACACGCAGTCCAACTATACTTGAAAGACAATGTAAATAAAATATTTGGGAATAATCATGTGGGAAGACCTTACTCTTGAAGACAACAACAAAGTAGCCGTTACAACAGCAAGAAAATAACAGGTGGGACAACAGAAACCGTTCAAACAAACAGATATTCAACCAATGATAATTTTTCCGTGACACTAGTGCTCTCTAGAGTGAATTATTATTGCACACTAACACCACCATGTAAAGTTGAAGAAATGTCTGACGTGCAGAATGTACAAACTTTTACTGGCCAAATGCACTTGATAAAACATCTAAATTACTGGAACCGCTTACAAATTTTAAAACCTGTATACTCTAAGAGTGCAGAAGTGTTACAAAATAATTTCCACCTTGAAAATAAAGGAACCGGTTCTGTACAGGGAAATAACTGCACGAGACATCAGGCAACATAGCAAGACGTGCACAATATCGGTGTTGACAAGCCGCGGTGCAACAGTATGGTGTGGGAGGAACTCTGGCAACATTACGAGCCCACGACTCTACAACACGCGCCCTCTAACACACTAACTCTCACACAGCACAAAAGTTAACTTTATAAAACACCACCTAAGGATACATGATTAAGCAGGCTGTGAGTCATAAGTCAAGTAACAAGCAGCGCCGTCCAATAGCCTGGTTGACCAGACCCCTCAACCAGAAGGTCTGGTTAGAGACCGGGCTGCGGGGACGTTGGTCCCCGGAGCCAACAACAGATGGGGGGTATCCGTATGGTTCCATCATGGCACCAAGGGTCTTATATATGGTCCAAAACCCAGAGGTACATTTCTTACAACTATACCATGGTCTGTAAATTGTCAAGCTGGCAGGGAGACAAGCAGCAACAGTGTCAAGCTGGCAGGGAGACAAGCAGCAAGTGTCAAGCTGGCAGGGAGACAAGCAGCAAGTGTCAAGCTGGCAGGGAGACAAACAGCAAGTGTCAAGCTGGCAGGGAGACAAGCAGCAACAGTGTCAAGCTGGCAGGGAGACAAGCAGCAACAGTGTCAAGCTGGCAGGGAGACAAACAGCAACAGTGTCAAGCTGGCAGGGAGACAAACAGCAACAGTGTCAAGCTGGCAGGGAGACAAGCAGCAACAGTGTCAAGCTGGCAGGGAGACAAGCAGCAACAGTGTCAAGCTGGCAGGGAGACAAGCAGCAACAGTGTCAAGCTGGCAGGGAGACAAGCAGCAACAGTGTCAAGCTGGCAGGGAGACAAGCAGCAACAGTGTCAAGCTGGCAGGGAGACAAGCAGCAACAGTGTCAAGCTGGCAGGGAGACAAGCAGCAACAGTGTCAAGCTGGCAGGGAGACAAGCAGCAACAGTGTCAAGCTGGCAGGGAGACAAGCAGCAACAGTGTCAAGCTGGCAGGGAGACAAGCAGCAACAGTGTCAAGCTGGCAGGGAGACAAGCAGCAACAGTGTCAAGCTGGCAGGGAGACAAGCAGCAACAGTGTCAAGCTGGCAGGGAGACAAACAGCAACAGTGTCAAGCTGGCAGGGAGACAAGCAGCAACAGTGTCAAGCTGGCAGGGAGACAAGCAGCAACAGTGTCAAGCTGGCAGGGAGACAAGCAGCAACAGTGTCAAGCTGGCAGGGAGACAAACAGCAACAGTAATTCACCACACCACAAATTTTGCCAGCAGGAAAACCTGCCCAGTATTGAGAGAGCTTCACAGAGCCCAGTACATACCCAATCAAAAGGTAACCTTGAATGTCGGGTACACAGAGTAATAAAAATATTGTTAAGAGCCTTGGAGCTGTGAGGAGCGTATCAGTGAGGTGTGATAAGAGGCGAGGGACGACCCTCCACTACTGGCTGCTGCCGTCCTCACACTGGCACGGTGGGGCTCCTCTCACACTAACACACATCATCATGCTGTAACACCTCACACTGTGGCTCCTATGCATGCACGCACGCACGCACGCATGCTTGTATGGTTTACTGGAGGGTTGCTGCACCTTCCGTCGCTGGAAGCAGGGTTGCCATATCCGAAAGTGGCGAGCTGACGGTCTAACAGTAGCCCAATGGTTTTTTAGTGACCGGTACGGTTGGTAAAATATTTTAATACAGTACAGTACTCGCTTGTAATGGTTTATTAATATTATCTCTGCAGATATATAATATAAAATGTGATAGTGAAATAATTTACCAATATATGCTGTGTGAAGCATAATGGGTGTGGAGTCCATCTACATCTTCAGAGATCAGTCTTCAACAACAGTGTTTTGTAGATCAAGATCATCTTCCTCTGCATCCACAACCTCCATCTTGTATATTGCAGACTCGTATTCAAGCACTGACATGGGGGGTTCATATTATGACCAACAAGTTCAGTTTTCTTCAAGATATTACACACACAAATCACAATTGCGTGATGCATCAAATGAACAAATTCACAATGGCCGTGACGAGGATTCGAACCTGCGTCCAAGAGCATCCCAGACGCTGCCTTAATCCTCCTCAATCCGCTGCTGAATCCTCGTCACGGCCCTTATGGATTTGTTCTTCAAGATGTTTTGATTCTCAGGATAGATGTCAAAAGCTCACGTTCCATTCGAATTCTCAGTATAGTTTTCACAGATGTTACTCTAGCAAATACCCGTTCAACCAATATACTGATTGGCAAGCTGTATATTTTCAATGCAAACTCAGCGAGGTGAATCAGTATGGGATCGCCAGCAGCGTTCTTGACAGTTATTGGTCCAAAATGACGATCCAGATGTTGGCATTTGTCCCTCACAGGTGTTGGACCAGTCAGTGGTTAACAGTAGGCGCCACCGACTTTCAATTAAACTAAGCTTAGACTGGTCAGCTAAAACTAATGGAAGTTCTGAAAATGGTGACCAGTCTGTCACCTAGGGTAATGCTAGGTGACAAATTTTTCACTTTTTTGAAAGTTTCAGCATTACTAGGAATACGAGAAAGAAGCTCTTTGCAAGCCTCCACTAAAAAATTGTTTTTGTTTTTAATATTTTTAAACTTTCCTGGGTTATAAAATTATTTTGGCTGTGAGTGGCCAGAAGTGTTGAAAATTCGTAACACAAAGTTCCCCTTTCTCCCGGGGAAGACACATAGAACTGTAGTCCATATTAACATGAAGCTTTACGTGATGAGGATGAACGAGTCTTTTGAGCATTCCAAGAGGGAAGTTTCCTAAGAGAGTGTGAAGGCTACACTGATCTGTTTCACCTTTTTGATAAGTAAATGTATCCTTTCAAAATCATTTACCATTGGTTTGAGAAATGTGAAATATAGTTCATTGCCGCGATCAGAGTACACTGAAGATAGTTGACTTGCAACATGTGCTGATGTTGTAAGAGGAACACAAGACAGTACCCGGGATGAAGTATTAATGACAATTCAAGTTCAAGTATGTTTATTGAAACAAGAAATACAGTAAATACATCTCAAAGGGATAGAGTAGCTTAGGCTATTTAAACTCTTATTTCTTAATGACAATTAAGGTTGGGAAATCTATGACCCCTTGGGAAGGTTACCTTGCCTTCTTGAGGTTATCTTGAGATGATTTCGGGGCTTAGCGTCCCCGCGGCCCGGTCCCCGACCAGGCCTCCTTTTTGTTACACACCCCCAGGAAGCAGCCCGTAGCAGCTGTCTAACTCCCAGGTACCTATTTACTGCTAGGTAACAGGGCCATCAGGGGTGAAAGAAACATTTTGCCCATTTGTCTCCGCTTCCACCGGGGATCGAACCCAGAACCGCAGGACTATGAATCCGAAGCGCTGTCCACCCAGCTGTCAGGCGCCTTTGCCGTTACTTTTTATTTCGAAGGTTCCTAGGATCAATGTCCCCCGGGGGGCAGTCTCTGACCAGGCCTCCTGCGGTAAGTGGTCTAGTTTAGCCCGAGCTCAACCCCAGTAAGCACAACTAGACGAGTACACTGAACAGTTTAATATTAGTGTACCTACAAGGAATGAGTCTTGTACTTAGTTCCAGCTGGAAATTTCCAATAATATAACCCATCCTTGCCGTGGTGGTGCCGAAGGTCCGAACCGCTATGCGTACTAGTGGCTTTAGGTATTGTATGTACTACCTCTATCTATACATCAATCAATGTTTCTAACTCTGCATCTATGTATATACTTTTCCTAAATAAATTATTATTATTATTGTTAGCCATCAGACCTGACCCTAAGTTGTTTATGGAGGAAACAATCCACCATTTGGATGTTTGTCCAAATTCGTGGTCACTCCCACACACTAATTTACAGATATTAACACATTGTAAAATGAAAAGTTCTGGAAGATACATTATGTTAAAGCATTACAATTGTGTACACTGACAAATATTAGACGTCTTGGTTCTGGGTTTCAATTATTTACATTTGCAGTACGTGGGTCAAGCATTTACAGGCGCATGCGCGCGCATTTACATGCATGCACGCAAGTGTGTGAACACCCCCCCCCTATATATCCTAACACCATCTTTCACACACACCATCTCCCCCTCAACCCCCCCCACACACACAAACCCTCCCCCCCCCCAACCCCACACACACACCCCCCACTCCCCCTTCAATCACCTCCCCCCACACACACACACACACACACACACACACACACACACACACACACACACACACACACACACACACACACACACCACACACACACACTCGCCTCAACCCCCCCCCCCCCATCTCGCTCCAACCACACACACACACAGGAAAGGGGACTACAGGAGGATAAAGAACTATCTGGGAGCAGTGCAGTGGGAGGAAGAAATTAAGATGGAAAAACAGTCCAATATATGGTGAACCTAGTCATATGGAAATGCAAGGAGGCCGAAGAGATTTGTACCAACAGTAAAAGAAAATAGCAGGAGGGAATATAATAACCCATGGTTTAATAGACAGTGCAGGAAGCAGAAGTGAGAAACAGGCGGGAGTGGAGGAAGTACAGAAGACAAAGGACAGTGGATAATAGCATTAGATGCAACAGAGCTAGGAACAATTACATTAACATAAGACGAACATCGAAAAGAAATTATGAGAACGATATTGCGATCAAAGCGAAAAAGCAACCTAAATTACTACACAGCCATATAAGAAGAAAAATGTCGGTGAACGACCAAGTGACAAGACTAAGGAAGACAGAAGGGGCTTATACACAAAGTGACAAGGAACTCTGCAAGGCACTGAATGCCAGTATCCATGGAGTGTTCACAACCGAGCCTGAGCGGCTCCCATTGTTAGAAGAGATTACCCTAGATGAAAGACTATCAGATATAGAGGTGACAGCAGAAGATGTAATGAAACAGTTGAGAACACTGGATGCAACTAAAGCAATTGGACCAGACAAAGTATCACCGTGGATACTGAAAGAGGCAGCGCAGGCCCTCGGCGTGCCTCTGGCAATGATCTTGAGTCACTTATGTCGGAAGAATTGCCCAGTTGCTGGAAGAAGGCAAATGTACCGATTTTCAAGAAGAGAGAGAGAGGGGGGGGACACACTTAACTACAGACCCATATCACTGACAAGCATCCCCTGCACAAATACTTCAAAGAATAACTAGGTTAAGACTTGTTGCACACCTGGAGAGCATTAGGTTTGTAAACAACCATCAACATGGGTTCTGGAAAGGGAAATCATGCCTAACAAACCTTTTGGAATTCTATGATAAAATAACAAGGATAAGGCAGGACAGAGAAGGTTGGGCAGACTGCATATTTCTAGACTGCCAAAAAGCCTTTGATACAGTACCACACACGAGACTGCCATTCAAACTTGAGAGGCAGGCAGGAGTAAGTGGGAAGGCCCTAGCATGGGTAAGGAACTACCTAACAGGAATTAGCCGAGTAATGGTAAGGGGCGAGAAGTTGGACTGGCGAACAGCAACAAGTGGAGTACCTCAAGGATCGGTGCTGGGACCAATTTTATTTCTAATATACGTAAATGACATGGTTACAGGAGTAGAATCCTACATGTCAATGTTCGTGGATGATGCAAAATCAATGTGAGGAAATTGACAAATGAGGATTGTAGGATTCTCCAAGAGGACTTAAACAGATTGCAGAAATTGTCAGAGAAATGGCTACTGGAGTTCAACACGAGCAAATGTCAAGTTATGGAAATGGGATCAGGTGATGGGAGACCAAAGGGACAGTACACAATGAAGGGGAACTGCCTGTGACAATTCAAGAAAGAGACCTAGGAGTGAACATAACACCTAATCTAACTCTTGAGGCACATATAAATAGGATAAAGACAGCAGCATACTCTACACTGGCGAAAGTTAAAACATCATTCAGAAACTTAAGTGAGGAGGCTTTTAGAGAGCTTTACACTGCCTACATGAGACCAGTCTTAAGAGTATGCCGCCCATCATGGAGTCCCTGCCTGAAGAAACACACAAGGAAACTGGAAAAGGTTCAGAAGTTTGCGACAAGGCTTGTTCCAGAGTTACGAGGGATGAGATATGCAGAGCGCCTGAAGGAACTGAACCTTACGACACCAGAAAAGAGAAGGGAGAGGAGGGGATATGATAGGAACGTATAAAATACTCAGGGGAATTGACAAAGTGGAAATAGATGAAATGTTCACACATAATACTAACAGAACGAGGGGGACATGGGTAAAAGCTGGAAAATCAGATGGATCACAGAGATGTTAGGATGTTTTCTTTTAGTATGAGAGTAGTGGAAAATGGAATGCACTTAAGGAGCAGGTTGTGAAAGCAAACTCTATTCATAATTTTAAACCTAGATATGAGAGAGAAATGGGACGAGTCATTGCTGTAAACAACCGATGGCTAGAATGGTGGGATCCAAGAGTCAATGCTCGATCCTGCAGACAGAATCTGCAGGACAGCTGAGTACAATTGCTCCAACCACCCCCACACACATCATATCCCCCCAACCACCTCCACATAGTAAGGAAATAGTAAGGAAAGAGAGGGAAGGGAGAGGAGGTGGAGGAGTGGCCCTGCTGATAAGGAAGGACTGGAGTTTTGATGAGATGGAAATTCCGGGCTGTGACGGATTCAGAGATTACATAACAGGAACTATAACAATGGGTGGACCTAAGATGATAATGGCAGTCATTTACAACCCTCCCCTAAAGGACAGAAGACCTAGACAGGAGTTTGATAGGAACAACATGGCAACCATTAATATAATAGAGAGAGCAGCTTCAGTTGCCTGCAGGAATGGCTCAAGACTCTTAATCATGGGTGATTTCAACCATGGAAAGATAGACTGGGAGAATGGGGACCCACATGGTGGTGCAGATACGTGGCGAGCTAAACTCTTGGAAGTGGCAACAAGGAATTTTCTGAGCCA